ATTGGAAATAGCAGTAAGAGAACACTTGTATCCCAGATTCAGCTGGAATGGATCTTGTGGTGAGATGATTTTATAAACTGCTGTTTCCGAATGTCGGAAGGAGACAGGAAACAACTCGTACTGCTATTACAAAATGCGAACCTTCAAAAGCTCAAGAACAGCTCACCTCCTCGTCCTCGACCTCCCCTCATCCCACCTCGGCCTCCAAAGTCAGCTCTGCGGGTTGCAAAAGACACCTTGATAGGATTTCCATTGAAGTCTTTACCTTCCGGGGAAAAACAGGAGTGAAAGGTTGTAAGAAGCTGAACTGAGGCAAGAAATAAAACAGCTGAGAAATAAGACCAAACACAGAGTTTAGGACCTTGTTTTAAATGTAATGCTGCCCTGTCGGACTTTCTGAAGCTATCAGGGAGCTAACATTAAAAGCTATCAGCCAAAGCTTGATGGGGATCGACAACTCACCATCAAACCAGTCGATGGCGGCCTTAGCTGAGGGGGGGTCATCGAAGGAAACTGTGGCCTCCCCCTTTAGCTTCCCCGTCTCTCTGTCTGTGTACAGGTTGATCATGGGGAGGCCGGTCTTCTTGTTGACCTGAGAGGAAGGACAGACAGACGCAGATTTTAAAGACGCATACAATTAATGATCCAGCAGCAAAAATGTGTAAAATACGGGCAGATATTTGTGAATAAAATCTGAATGTTAGACTTTTCCCACTTTTCTGGATGTTTGTTTTAAAGTTTATCTGAATATTTGAAGACCTGAATTGAAAATAAACAGTTTGTGATTTTTAAATGAAGAAAGAATTTGATCCCAGGACCATTTCTGCTACCGAAGGCCAACCATGTCCCACTCTACAGTCTGTTAACCACACACGTTAATAAATTAATACACTTCAATAAATGACTTACCTTAATGATCCCGATCTGCTTGAAAAAGTCTGCCACTGATTCCACAGTGTAGTCGTCTCCCAGGCCTTGCACGAAGATGGTGTTATTATCAGAGTTATCCTGGTCTTGCACTGTAACAGGAGGAGAAGTTAGACTCATATTCTGACCTACAATTACTGACTAGCACTAAAACAAAGCATTGCTTTCTTGCTATTAAAACAGAACATCTGAAATATTATGCCCTACAACAATATTTACACATCCAGACAAAGCAACGTGATCATCTTATCTCTGCTTTTAGTTACCCGTTTGATTTCCACTAAATCCTTCAGGGGAATTAGCTGCTAAAGGCTCCACTTTCTCCACCAGCAGCTAGTATCTGACTAGCCAGAGCAGTGGTTCCCAACCTGGGGGTCAGGACCCCTCTAGGGGCTCGTCAAAGCTTCTTAATTTTAATTTTTGCACTTGCTGAGAGGTGTAAAAGCTCTAATAGTGTATAGATTTTAATTATTGTACCTGCCGTGGGTCTGGAAGGTTATTTTATTAAGTTTCAGCATTTGTTTGTACATTTTTATTTTTATTTCTTATATAATGTTTGAATAAAACAATACAAAACTTACTGAAGCCGGGTCCTCCATGTCCCGGGTCTCTTGGTCCTTGAGAAGGCAAAAAAGAAACAAACAGAAATTAGTTGTGGAAAAGAATAAATGAAAACCCAACACACATAAACACCAAATCTGTATATTAAATGTTATTTTATCTCCTTGTTCCAACCAGCTTCTGTCACTCAGTATGTACACGTACTTTCTAAAGGTGCTTAACTTTAGACGCATTTTCACCATGTTGTCTTCCAACCGTGTTACTCTTTCATCACCTCTTTCATCACCTCTTTCATCACACCATTTGTAGGCAGAGGACAATAAGTATCTGACATTATCTTTAAGCCCCACGAACAAGCGTACGAAACAAGCTTGCCCACATTCTTGCCTGCCTTCGAGTAGATTTTGTGCATCGGAGTATCACAATAACTCCTCTCACACAGCTTCACAGTTTCATGGGTTTTGGTTATTAATTCTATGACACTTGCAGAGTCAATGCATTTGTGTTGATGCATTTTTCTTCCTTTCACACAAACTTTACCAACTCTTCCAACACCGTGCAACACGATCCCCCTTTTTTAAAAGCATTTACACCTTCAACTCACATGGTAACCCCTGTCATTTATCCACTCCTTTGTCTACTTTGGTTTTGCACACAGCTTTAACAAAGGATTCTTGTAAATTGTCCCAACGTATATCTTGGAAATAAGAACACCATGTTTGTCATTCTGAGAGCGTTTTGTTATTCGGTAGTAACGGTTAGCGACACTTCACCCATTTATAAAAACCACCTTCAATTGAAGTTTCCAGAGAGGTGAACTGAAACACCTGAGGCATGTTGTGGTTCGTTAGGTCCCGTCAGCTGAAGATGACCTGCACACTGTGACATTAGCAGCTGGATTTACCAGAGTTTCTGGAACTGGATTTAAAAAAAGTCCCTTCTTTAAAACACAAGTTTCATTGTCTTTGGAAGCCAAAAAACCTTTGGCATCAGCACGACATTTGAACCACTTAGATAATAAAACTGGTGTGACTGTGCAAACAGGCAAATCATTTTTCAGCACAGAGGTTATTGTTGTTCTTCTGTCGCTCTGTGAACTGACCAGATGACGCTATTCTTGGAAACAGCTGGCAGTGATACCTGTTCCATGACGCTGCCATCTCACCCCACTGATATGCACAGGTATCAGCGTGAAAGGTTAAACTCTACATTTCAACTCAGATCTCAAGTCTCAATTCCACATGGGACCGAGAGTTTGGTAAATTCATTTCATGTACTATAAGTGACATTAATGAATGTGTCTGTATTTTTAGAGTTTATCTGTAAATCTATAGACTTTTCATTATAATGGCACCTTCACCCATAAGTTGAACAACTGGTTTACACTGAAACTACAAACTCTGCTGCTGTAAAGGGTTTGTATCGTTGATATTTTGTGACGTTTGTTATTATTTAAGGTAAAATATCACCTGAAGTAATAATCAGAGTCTCTCCGGGGGTCCTAGAGACAGTGGAAAGCAGCCTACCCACTGGTCTGGGAACTGCTCCGCTCAGGACCACAAAGCTGTACAGAGTGGCGAACCTTTAGATCTGCACTGTGCAGGACTTTTACAACAGAAGATCCACCACCTCAGTAAGACTATTCCAGCTGCTACACAACTCATCTGTAGCCACAAGCCCAACACAGAGAGACACTCGTCTCCCTCCAACCATCAGGACGGTGAACTCTGACCTCTGTGACCTCTGACTCGTACAGCACATTGTCTTCTGGGAATCGTTGATCATTTGCACTGTGACATACTGCGTGTAGAGTTTAATGTTTTATACTCAAACCACCTACAGACCAGGTGAATATACACACATTTAATACTCAAACATATATTTATATTGTGTTATGTTAGAATTTTTACCTTTTTGATTTAATATTTTCATCCATGATTATAGTAATTATTTTACTACATATTTATATTGTTTGTTTATGTAACAAATAAAACTTTTGAATCCTTGAATGATGCAGATTATAATAGTAACTGCAGGGCTTTTGTTTGCAGCACTGGAGCCACTTAAAAACAACAATTACAATTTAATTACGGTAATAAAACATCTATATAATTATACATAAATTCTAATTACATAATTAATATTGAAAATTACATCGACATCGTAAGTAAAACCTACATAATACACTGCCAAATATTTTTTAGTTACCACCTTAAACATGACTCAGTAATGTCAACACTGGTGCTTAAGAGTAAACCTCCAGCTGCAAACATCAGCTGTAAACCTATAACATACAATCATACTCATTAAGGTGGTAAACACACATTGCACGTGGTTCACTCGTACAAAGGAGGGAGTTGCGTGATTAAGCTCTAATACCGGCTGGTGTATTGTTCCAACTGGACTACCACACTGAAATCACACGCTATTTACAGTACAATGTGAACCGGATCAGGTTACAGATACCTAATAAAATTCACAGTTGTGCAATCAAACCAGTTTTTACTATTTAACTGATCTGTGAACAGCCGGACCGAAACTTGCTGTCTGGGTCCATTCATGAGACCCACAACTTGGATCTGGTTTGCAAAGTCTGCGTCGTACCGTACTTTTCTTATCTCATTTCTTTTGTTTTTCCATCTAAGCCATCAAACACTGCGAGGTTTATGACTCTTACGTGACTGGACAAAAGCTCTGAACTCCCATCCATCAAATTCCAACACCAAAGCTCCAAGAAGACGGAGCAGCTGAAGCCATAATGTGCTGTATAACTCCCTCTGCTGGACATTTACAAACACTGAGTACCTGAGAGTTGTATCCATTCAGATAACATTAAAGCACACTGTTCTTACCTGTGCATAGCACAATCACACACTTTAATGATGACCCGCTTCATGCTTTAAGTCTACTGATCTTCCCTCCGTTTAGCTTTGACTCTTCAAACTCAAACCTTTAGTTTTTTTTGTTGTTTTTTTTTTGTCACTTACCACCAAACTTATTGAATCCTCCACGATCGCCAATTCTGATGAGGAGGAAGAGAGAAACGACACCTGCATGAAGGCTGGTGCTGCAGCTATTTTCTCTCAATGGGTTGTGGGTTAACCTTCACTCTTTCACAACAGTCTCTCATTAAACCCACCCCTCTTTCATTTCGGGCACTCATCCTACTGAAACCCCTACGTAATCTTTAGGTCAACTCTTCTGAATGTACTCGAAGGACAAGAGGCCAGTTTAAAGACCTTGTATTATATGTTCAGAAGCAGCTGTAATTTGCATTTTATTTTTACCTTTAAGTCTATTAAGTGACTTGATGCACCCATTTTCTTTCATCAAATCACTTCTGTTGTGTCAATTAACACAACCCAAACATTAACACATTGATTCCCTGGATGGATGTTTTTTTAGGTCTCAGGACAAACCTTTACTCTTTACACAAATTGCAGCAAATCCAAATTTTCTTTGAGCTTTTTCTCATGTCTCTCAAATGATAAAAAGCAGTTAAATCGTTTCTCTAACTTTACCGAGACTAGTTAACTGTTTGTAGACTTCCCAACTGATGGCTTTAAGAGCAAAAAGCCAGCCTGGAGAGAAGGGTAAAGCCTAAGGAGAAGATCACAAGATTGATTAAAAGCAGAGTATGAAACAGTGATCGCTGTAAGGGCTGGTGGAAGGTGGAGTAACAGGTGAGAAAGGCAGCGATGGATTCTATTGTGCGTGTGTGTTAGTGCGGGAGATCAGTGCCAAAGTTTACGTCACGTTTACCTCGTGGAGGAGGTAAAAAACAACAACACCATATTGCTTCAGACTTTTACGGTTTGTAGGAGCTGTAACTGTCCAAGTAGCAGTTTTTATTTACACACAACTTTCTAACTAACTTTAGAGTTACAGTTTGTGCTTCATTATACCAAGATAGCAAGTATAAGCCACTTTTTTTTATTTACATATATATGTTAAATATTGAACCAAGATAACTGATAAACCACTTTAACTCTTCAATACATAAAAGATAAAAATATACAATCATTTAACAGTGATTTTGTGACAGATTTGAGGGATTGAGTTCTGAATATCGTAATGGTGGGGGAAGGAGACTCTATTATTGTCCATAATGGATGAGAGAACATACAGTGAAATGGTAAACTGATTTGTCTGTGACTTCATCACCAACATCATGAGGTTACAATGAAGTACATGAGATATTGTAACCTCGATAAGAAAACAAAAAAACATCAACTTACCAGTTTCTTCTTCATAGTTTTACTCATTCAGTGATCGTGTTGTAAAATCTCTCTTTTCTGTTCTGTATAATTTATTTGGTTTGCCCCATAATCCATTTCTCTGTATTTATCTTTTTCTTAAAGCAGCAACAAGAATTTTCATTTAGTGTTGATTGTGGGGCCCCCTGTGGACAAAGGCAGTAGTGCTTCCACCACCTTGTTTCATTGATTTCAGGGGGAATCCGACACGATGAAAACATTAAGAATAACTACAAAGAAATAGCTTCTCACTGATGGTCTGAGTTGATGTAAGTTAACATAAATTAAAACTGTTTCATAACCTCCTTGTAGTT